GTTAATTATTTCGGTCAAGTACATGGTCCAAAAAAGAATGATTAATTGTAATTAATACAATGACTCATAAACCTTTTTATTTGCACTTCAAAACTCTTCATGCAAAATACAAACGATTTAAAATAATAATTTTTACAACCGGAGGTTTTGTCCGGTCAAGTACATACGAATTTGAACGCTGGCTTCGGCGTCGGCGGAGTGGGGGGGTCTTCGCCAGCGAAGCTTCGCTGCATGAAATTGCACCTTTCTTTCAACCCCCACTATACTGGCCGTAGCACAGACTTTTGCATAAGGCGTCGTCTACAATACACGGAGTAAGAAGTAAGAGTAAGAAATTGACCAATCACAGTCGATTATTCTTCTCACATTCGACTGTGATTGGTCAATTTCTTACTCTTACTTCTTACTCTGTGTATTGTAGACGGGCCTTTATGCAAGGGTCTGTGCTGCGGCCATACTACTAATACCGTACAACATACCAAGTATCTAAGAGTCAAGAATACCAAGTCGATCTTATAATTAAGTATCGAACATACTACGCATGATGATGAATCTCGCCGTTGTTAACCGGTTCTTCCATTTTCCAAGAAACTCCATAATACCGACTCGATATACAATCCAAACGAGAGAATACGCCGGACCAGGTAAGGGAATGGAAGGTTGTCGCACCATTGATACATATTTCATCAATCTTGTCCATCATTCATCATATCCACGTTTAAGTCTTGATTGAGCCTCAACTTCAATCCTGGGCCCCTATTCTTGAAAAGTATTCGCAAGTATAATTATATGGTTTAGCTACAGCACTTCAAAAACCAATAAAATTAAGACTCATTCGACGTGTTTTTGCACGAAATGAATGAATCTGACGAAAAAAAAGTGTCACTCTGCCCCGTCAACCGAGGTATTAATCGTTAAAGTGACGACTATTTAGGTTAGGAAATCTGTCATATCAGTGGCATAGACGGACATGGGATAACATGTACGAGAGGTTAGAATAAGTATTTTTTGCTTCAATTACGTAAATTCTCTGTTTTGAAAACACATTTGCTTTAAAAGTACAAATTCTCTGCATGCTTCAAAAATAAATTATTTTTTATATAATAGAAAATAATTTATATAGTCATGAAAATTTATCCCAGGGCCTGCAGCCGTTTTTAATAATAGCTCTTGTCGGTGGCATACGTAAAACTATATACTTTGTCGTATACGGTTCTTTTCGAGAAACCAGGGGTCCTGTATATATAATCTAGATATCTAGAAGTATACGTAAATTATGTGTATAACCTCAATCATTGAAGTTATACACATAATAATACATGTACATATGTATGCTTCTGGATCGATATTTAGGTAGCCATTACCGAAAATGTAGATTTCTCACTATATTATCAACTGTTGATGTGTAAAACAATACGTGCATATGCAGTATGAAATAATATCGATCAATAATGAGCTCTGCTACACGGCACGCTTAATCGGGTTTAATAACATCCGTAGTTATGAAATTGGCCAATCACAGCTTTTCCTCGGGAGAATGGAATGATTGTGATTGGTCAGTTTCATAACTACGGATGTTATTAAACTCGATTAAGGGTGCCGTGTAAATGTAGTCATTGATGGTCTATCACCTACATAATGGCTATGTCATCATGACCGTAATGATAATTTGCCTAACAACTGTGCAGCTATACACACAATCGTCGTATTAAAAACGTGCATTAGATTGAAAAAAAATTGTAAGTAAATAAATAATATCTCTTTTTCTTTTTATAGCGACCCGGACTGGAGTGAAGAAATTAAAGAAGACATTAGTTACGGTAGAAAAAAAAGTATTGCCAGTTGAAACGGATGTTAACAGACTCTTAACTCATGTATGCGGTACAAATATTTATAAAGAGGGAGGAAAAGACATAGAGTTAAAGCCAGATTCTGAATACCCTAGTTGGTTGTGGAGTATTAGAACTGGCCCTCCTCCACCTTTGGAAGAATTAGATTCAAATACAAAACAATATTGGAAAAGATTGCGATTACTCGGTTTAAGAAAAAACAATCAAAAAAGTAAAAACAGAAAGTTTTAATTGACTTGTGCAAAAATATACCGCGTATATGTAATATGTTTGCTGTATTGAAAAGCGCTGAAAATAATTGTTACTTCTGCATTGTAAATCGATATACAAGTTAATAAAAATAATATAAATAAGATGAAATAACATGTCATCGTTAACGCATAAAGTGAGAGCAAAAAGTATTCGTATAAAGAAATTTTTTATAAAAAGTCTTATTTGTAAAAAATAAACATTAATTAGCAATTTTATACAATGAATATCTGTTCTAACATAAACAAACGAGCTTCGCGTGTATTCCTGATTTTAAAAGCTAAATTTCTCGACTACGAATACTTTTTGAGCATCCAAACAATAGAATTTTTTATTTTCACTTATTTTTCAGATGATATATTAGGTATGGGAATAAGTTTCCGCCCATTAGAGAGATGTCGTTAGTAGCATTGCTTGTGTATTTGATAAAATGGCAATACATGTATTTGAAAAGTGTGTGTTCAAGCTTTTGATCCCAGTAGTTGATATTCGTTCGAAGCGATTTGTTTGAACTAAGCTTTGAAACAAACACGATAGGAATGGGACAATAGGCACGATAAGCTGATTCTGCTACGTGACAACGCTATGTCACACGTTGCAAAACCGGTCAAGAAATACTTGGAAGGAGTGAAGTGGGAAATTCTGCTCCACCCGCCGTATTCACCGGACATTGCTTCTTCAGATTTCTATTTGTTCCGGTCCATGTTGTTGACCTTTTCTGGAGAGCGATTCAATTCTTATGAAGATATCAAAAAATGGCTTGATAAATGGATCGCTTCAAAAGAACAAGATTTCTTCCTTCGAGGAATCTGTTTATTACCTGAAAGGTGGGGGAAAGTTGTCGCTTCTGATGGAGCATACTTTGAATGAACTTACTTTGTATTGTTTTTCTAAAATAAATACATCTTTTTCATTTAAAAAGGGCGGAAACTTATTCCCATACTCAATATTTTCTATAATTAATACATATCTTTTTGGTATATATATAATTTTAAGGAACATACAGTTTATTTTATTCTTTATGAATAAATTGTTAATTACTCAATAAGAAATCGTCAATTAAACGTCGAATCGACATCGACATTGATGGGGGTGATTTGACCACGGATCGATTGGACACCAATCACAGCGACCGGTGCTTAGGAGCTTTGTAGTCTCAAGCGTTGTGAATGGCTCGTGTCCAATTGAGCCATGTCCAACCGGGTGCCACCCCCTATCTTTAAGAGATATATACTCTCTAAGCATATGAAAAAAGAAATCAAGAGTTCTAGGTTTCTACCTCCTTACCTATACCCTTTCAAGGTTACTACTACGGTTGCTGGCTACACTGAGGTTATGACAGGGATAGATGAGTAAACCTCTAAAGCCGTAATCACACTAGCGATTGGCGATTGTAATTGACGATTGAGGATTACTTTTCAACCAATCGGAGCAAAGAAATCGGTGACTTTCAGGCTCTGATTGGTTGAAAAGTAATCCTCAATCGTCAATCACAATCGCCAATCGCTAGTGTGATTACGGCTTAAGGAACATTCTTGAGGCTTCCACGGGTGCTTTCTGTATAAAGATTATGCATTTCGCATTTCGGGTTTCCTCCATGTCCAGATCCATTCTTGAGATGCCAATGTTTTGTGAACCTTGCAGTCCACTTCATCAGGACAAGGGGCAGCCTGATACAGTATCAGGGTACCTATTATGGCAATAATTGGAATGGATTCCGATCGGAATTATTTCGTTTTCTCCAGAAAACACTATAGAAATCTAGGAAATGATTGAATAATTTCGATCGGAATCAATTCCGAACATTTCCATAATAGGTGCCCAGGCTGCCCCTCGCCCTGATAAAGTGGATTGCAAAGTTCACGAAACGTTGGCATCTCAAGAATGGATCTGGACACGGAGGAAACCCGCGAAACGCATAACCTTTATTCTCTGAGGAGTATATTTTTAGACAGTTTTAGGAGTTTATTATACCGCTTATTCAGGAAGGTTATGTCTGCTTCTACACAGGTGGCTTTAAATTTGATCAAGACGGTCTCACCGGCGCAGACATCTTTTCACCTACGTTGCAACTGGAAATTGCGCATCGCCTTCCTTTAATGCATCTATATTCATAGCTGAAGCCTGAGCTTAGCTAGTAGCATTGAAGTTCATCCTTGACAGCGGCTCTTTTAAAGCGATCATTTTCACTGATTCAAAAAGTGTTTTAGAATCTGTAGCATTCTCACGTCTGAACAATGGAAATTATTTGATCTACGCCATCAAGAATCAAATTCACCTTGCCTCCAATGCGAATATTCATGTCAAATTCGCCTGGATCCCTTCCCACAGGGGAATTGAAGGGAATGAAACTGCGGATGAACTTGCCAAACTCGGCGCTAAACAGGGAGACAAAATAGACCTGGAAATTTCATATCCTGATTTATTTTCGGAAAACAATGATACCGCTTTGGAACAATATTGTTAAGCAACAGTTTAAATTTAGTTTGGCGCCTCTGGTAATTAGATGTCTCCGGATATTAGTGCGCAAAAAAGGACGCATAGTGGCGTGCGTAGCGTTGTCGGCCATTCTATTCTAGTCTTTTCGGTTCCTTCGATACCAATGTAAGAGAAGAGATGGAATGTAGACAAGTTCATATAAAAAACGTTCAAAAAAAGCAAGTGTACTTGAGTTGTTAATCGTAATCCTAAGGGGATTGTAAGCTGAGTTAAGCAAGTCCAAAACAAATATAATACCTATCTTCACCCGGAATTCCAACACAAAGGCTTATATTATGAGCATTTCTATCACTCTCATACGACTAAACTATGGTTCGGCAAAAAAGAAAGAAAATAATGTTAATTAATCGTTTACGTGCTAATCACTATAATCTTAATTATAGCTTGCACAAAAAAAATATTGTGATCTTCAAAGCTTGCCTTTATAATCCTAATCAGGATATAAATCATATCATCTTTCATTGTCTTATTACTTCTCCAAAAGCAAACCATCTAATTTCATTTTACAATATCGTTTCCACTAAATCATCTTTTTTACTCCAAATGCCATTTTCCTTCTCCTTAAGCCTTGTGTCCACGATGTTAGAAATCGGTCCAAGATCTCGGACAGAGAAAAAATTAACAAATCACATTTGAACAATTTGATCACATGACCATTGCGATTGGTCAATTCTTTCTTCATCCGAGTTCTCGGACCGATTTCTAGCATCGCGGACACAAGGCTTTAAAAAACCATCTCTAAAGGTGCAGACACATGCAGCCGTCAAGCGTCAAGCAGCAGAAGCAGCAACCAATCAGCTGGACGATACTGGCAGTGGTGTAAAAAATATTTTTTACGCCACTGCACTTATCGTCTCGCTGATTGGTTGCTGCTTCCGCTGCTTGGCGCTTGACGGCTGCATGTATCTGCACCTTTAAACTCTGTCGTCTACTTCTTGTCTTTGTTAAGTCTAACAACTTAAGAATTTAAATATCCGTGACTGGGCTCGTTTCCGTGTATCCCCCGATATTTAAACTTAGCGCGGGTTTTATCTCCCCCACTTCAAACTTTTGATACTCAATACGCTACTCATGTTACTCACCGCCATTACACGGTGGCCATATTCGATACTGGCCGTATCGACGCTGTATGCGATCGAGGCCAATTGCTGGATTCACACTGCATCCGATTTGCGTCGTACGACGCCCTGCTACTAATCAGAAAACAGGGAGTCGATTCTGTATCTTCAAACAAGGTGAAAATTACAAAAGTGAGCAAATTTACTAGGCGTTGACCAATGAAATTATCAGTAGTCTAGTAAATTCGCTCACTTTTGTAATTTTCACGTCATTTCAAGATACAGAATCAATTTCCAGGATTTCGATGGATTTTGCTTTGTATCATCGGAATCCTGTTTTCTGATTGATTGCAGAGCATTGTACGACGCAAATCAGATGCAGTGTGAATCCAGCAAATCACTTCAAGAATAGAATAGAATCGCTCTTCGCATAGCAAGTAGAAAGTTGTGGAAAGTTGTAGCTGTAAATTGTTGTAAACCCATGAACGATGAATGATCTGAATATTAATAAACAAACATTAATCGCTGTAGAAGCAAGTTAGTAAAAGCCTTAAGCCTCAGACACAATGCGAAGGAATAGCGATAGCGATAGAAACAACACGATTTCAACCTATCAAAAATCAGATACAGATGGAAGAATAACAGTTTCTGATAGGTAAAAATCGTGTTATTTCTATCGCTATCGCTATTCCTTCGCATTGTGTCTGGGGCTTTACGCATGTAGTCATAAACGGGTGGCACCCAGTTGGACACGGCTCAATTGGACACGAGTCACTCACAGCGCTTGAGACTACAAAGCTCCTAAGCACCGGTCGCTGTGATTGGTGGTGTCCAATCGAGACGTGGTCAATCAGGATCACCCCAATCGGGATCACCCCCCGAAAATTTGCTCAGGGTTGACGATCTTTAATAATATCTCGTCGGTGTCATAAAGCATGAAAATACAGTGTTGCCAACTTAGCTATTTTTTGGCTAGATCTAGCTATTTTTACTTCGATCTAGCTCACAAAAATTGACTTTTGCCATTAGCTATTTTTCTGGATATTTCTTTAAAGATAATACAGAGCTAGCTAGCTATTTCTCATGATTTTGATTCTCAAGATTTTTTATTGGATACCAATCGTCGTACGTTAAAATTTTCCAACCAACGTAGCGAACATACCCAGGCTGCGTTTAGATACTACACTCGGGAGCACCCAAGCTCCCGAATGCCGTTCAGAAACCAATTGAGAGTATCTCAGCGTTATCTAGGTGGCCCGTTCAGAAACGTGTCGGGTGTTCCCGATCGGGAGACTTTTGCACCCTGCTCTTTTTTTAGGTGGAAAGTCTCTCAATCGAATTGACACACAAAGCGCGGGAAGCGAAACATGGGCTGCGTTCAGCAGACTCAGCAGTTTTGCAACCGTTTTGTGATTCGTCGCGCTGATTGAATTATACTTTTAGATTTAAAGGAATAGTCCTATCTCAGCGAAGAATCATTTGCAAAACTGTTGAGTCTGCTGAACGCAGCCATGGCTACAAATTAATAAGAATTTATTAATGCAATTTAATAATGAAAATCAAATTATATTGTGGAATCCTGAAAGTAAGTAAAATATATTTTACTTCGATCGATTATAATTTACGATGAAGTCCAATAAAGGTTTTTTCGTCATGTTGCGTATGAAGTCCCGTTAAAGTGTAATAACTGTACAGTATTCTTTGATAAATCAATTTGTTTGCAAAATATTTATTTTTAAACATAATTAGGTTTGTTCTCCTTGCTTACACTTTGTACACTTTAGCGTTCTTCTTGTCAGAAGTGACGTTTAAGGTGTATGATTACACGCTGTTTGTCTTGAAAGTGTAATACACTTTAAGGACGTATTTTACACTGGTTTTACACGTGCCTGAGAGGTGGTGTAAATTGGTGTAACGTTACACTAATAGGTTAGGTTGCCAATGATTTGAATTTTGATTAGTAGTTCTTCTTCCGAATGGAACGTCGAATTACGAAAAATGCAATAAATTATT